TATAGCCCCAACTTTCCCTAGTTGATGGCTTCGATCCATATCCCTCATTCAAAAGAAAACTAACTCCTTCATAAAAACAAAACCCAACTTATCCATAATAGAACCTCCTAAAAAAATACTCATGCAAGATTAAGAAAATGGACCTACCAAAAAAAAAAAAGAACTTTTCCTTCCGAAACAAAGAGACTGTTTTAAAGTGAAAAAAAAAAAAGACTCACTCTTAAAATAAAAAACAGAGTCTAAAAAAGAAAAAAAATAAATAAAATCATATTTTTTATTCTTATTCTAATCCCCATTTGATTGCTAAAAAAAAATTGTAGTGCGATAATCTCGACGGCATTAGCTAAATCTAAGTGTCACAAGACTTGAAATTCAAACTTTTCTTTTAAAAATAATCATATAGTGATTCGCTTCCTAAAATGTTAGACCAAAAAACTCAGTTAACTGTGTCAAAAAAATTTAGACAAAAAACTCTTCCTCTATATTTAAAGGGAAAAGTTTATATAGAGCCGAGGCTCTATACAATCAAATTTGGGCCTACCTCAAAAATTTCACTAGGAGAGGTTGTTTTGATGCCCAATTATCCTCAAATTGATCATCTCGACATCAAGATGTATGGATATGAGAAAAAAATAGATTGTAAGTTTTGGAAATAATGTATTTTGTAGTGCATTTTTGGACCGTCAATTTTCAACATTTTCAAATTTTCATAGATATATCGATCTACACTATTTTTTAAGCTTAAACTTTATAAATAAATATAAAACTATATTTTAAGGCTATCACAAATATTTCCAGTATTGAAACCACATTTCTCGACACCATTTGAAGATAGGCTCTAATTTTATTGTTTAGAGCCTAGGCTCTATACAAACCGTACCCATATTTAAATAGATATTTTGAATGAGGGAGTAGATACGCAATATGCTTCCGCAGGAGCATAGCATATCTACTAAACTGTTGGTTTGGCGGGCGGGGTATCCCAACATGAGGTCAGAAGAGATCATGCTCCGTCGGGGTATTTCCTCCGTTCACTGTCTACGGCGAATGTCTCACACAAAAATAAAAGTAAAAATCAAGTGACCCTATTCATACCATAAAAAGTTACACCACAGGAATTATCAGAGGATGAGGTTTCTATAATGCCTAAGCTTTATGAAAACAAAATAAACCCTCACCTCAAATCTATATCTGAAAAGCACTTTCGGCTATAGAAATCTCCATGATCGTACTAAAATCAAGTTCTAGCACCGACAATGAAATTGGAAACTTAAAAAATGTTACAGAACTTGTGGATTTATGACCACTTGTTTTTAGGGCGAAACAAACGATCTAGATAATTTGTTACAATGTACACTATTTTAGAGCTTGAAATCTTTTTTTTTTTTTCCAAGATGATTGATGTAAATGTTTTTTAATGCTTGGATTGCAATTTCGATGAGTTACGAGGTGAGGCTTTATTTATTTTGATAGAGCTGCGGCCCTATCTAACTATTTTCCTAAATTAGAAACAATGCAACTTTTGATGGAGCCCTAGCTAAGATTGAAATCCTTGATCATAATACCCAGATGAGTGGGCTTTTATCAAAACAATCCTTATTGGACAGCTATTTGAAACTTAAAGAATTGGAGGACTTGCTTTGTTCAGAGGAAATATATTGGAAGCAGATGTCTAGATCGAAATGGTTAAAAGAAGGGGACCTTAATATAAAATATTTTCACGCAATTGCTAGTGTTTAAAGATGACAAAACGACCTTTCGGGTTTATCTACTCCTGGGATTGATTCTGAGGATGATGCTGCTTTAGAAGGAGCAGTCATTAGCCATTTTAAGAAAGCTTTTATTAAAGAAGTTAATTTTATACCTGCCTTTGGTAGAATCCCTTTTAAAGTATTGTCAGTGGGGGAAAAAAAAAATTTGGAGAGAGAAGTTTCTATGGAGGAGTTGTATAAGAAGGTTTTTACGATGCTAGAGGATAAAGCACCAGGTCCTGATGGTTTTCCTCTAGCCTTCTTCCACAGATTTTGGAATGTGGTTAGTAAACTTTTGGAGTTCATCAGGAGTTTTTTCATTAGGGGAGATATTTTTAAATGAGTGAACTCTACTTTCCTGGCTTTAATTCCCAAGAAGTCCATGATTACTAAATTGTCTGATATTAGACCAATTATCCTTCTTACAAGTCTCTATAAAATAATTATTAAAGTCCTGGCCGAAAGATTGAAAATTGTTCTACCTTCCCTCATCTCTAATACTCAATCTGCTTTCATCAAGGACCGTCAAATCACGGATAGTGTGCTTTTGGCACAAGAATGTATCCATTCTCGTGTCCTGAGTAAGAAGCTTGGTGTTTTGTTTAAACTGGACATGAAAAAGGCTTATGATCATATTGAATAGGGAGTACTGTTGGAGATTTTGAAAGTTATGGGATTCGATGAAAAGTGAAGCAGTTGGATTTTTAGATGCCTTTCTTCAGCTTATTTTTCAGTGTTATTTAAAGGCAGCCCGATTGGTTTTTTCAAAGCTTCTAGAGGTCTTCGACAAGGGGACCCTCTCTTTCCTTTCTTATTTACTATTTATGAAGAATGCTGCAGTTTGATGTTGAGCTGGGTGGAGAGAGTGGGTCCTTTTGAGAGTGGGTCCTTTTGATATTGAGCAGGGTGGAGAGAGTGGGTCCTTTTAAGGGTTTCAGCATTGCGAATTCTGATATTGTAATCTCTCATTTACAATATGCAGATGATACTCTGATCTTTTGTGATGTGTATCCTTTTTAAGTCAGGAATATTGCTCGTTTTATGGAAATATGTGAGGTCACAATTTGCTTTAAGTTAAATTTTAACAAATCTCCTATGATTGGTATAAATTGTGCAGAGAATGTTGTTGGTGAATTGGCTAGTGTGATAGGGTGTAAAGTGGGTTCTTTTCCTATCACTTGTCTTGGCCTTCCTATCTCTGACTCAAGACTCTTTTTGGCAGTCTGGGAGAAAATACTTGAAAGGGTCCAATCCAGACTTGACCTCTGAAAACACAAGTATCTGTCTTTGGGTGGTAGGGTGACTCTGTTGAGGGCCTATCTGACCAATCTTCCAGTCTATCAGATGTCTGTGGTTAATATGTCTACCTCGATTGCGAAAAGGATTGAGAAAATGATGCGGGATTTTCTTTGGAGTTCCAATAATGAGGTCAGGAAATTTCATCTTCTTAGTTGAGATAGAGTATGTACTCCAAATAAAGAATGTGGATTGGGAATACGTAGAATTAAATTGATGAATCAAGCTCTGTTGTGCAAGTGGTGATGGCGTAGTCTTCATTTAGAGGACCACCTTTGGTACAAAGTCCTTGTTTCCAAGTATGGTGTGGAATAATGTCATTTTTTCCCAATGGTATGCTTTAATGGAAATCCTGGATAAGAGCTATGTGTCGCAGAATGCTAGGGATGAGATGATTTGGTAAATCGGAAGTGATGGTGTCTTCACTGTTAAATCTTGTTATAGTCTTTTCTTTCACGATCGATAGAGATGGTCATCCCCTCATATTGCTCAAATTTGGAAATAGCCAAAACCCCACAAAGTACAAGTTTTTATTTGGCTGGCTGTTATGAATAAAGTACTGACCATTGATAATTTGATTATAAGGGGAAACATTTTTCAGAATGTGTGCCTTTTATGAAAAGCTGATGGTGAATCTGGTGCACAACTTTTTATGAACTGTTCTTTTACGGTGAGAATTTAGCACTGGTTGTTTGGTGTTCTAGGTATCAATTTAGCACTTCCTCAATCGATGGAGGGGTTAGTTTCCCAATTTTCCCTTCCTCATTTACCTAAGGTGGGCAAGATTATATACAGGATTGCTAAAGGTATAATCCTGTGGAAGGTTTGGAAAGAAAGAAATAGAAGGTCCGTTGAGAGGACTTCTATGGATTTTGACAGACTAATTCATGCTATCAAATTTTCAATCTGGTCGTGGCTATCTGTTTTAAAAGAGGGATGGGGTATCTCTAAAGTGGATGCTATGGCAAACTTACACAACCTTTTTCGTCTTGGTTGTGTTAGTAATAGACCAAGAAATATTTGGATTGAGCCTCCAACAGGTACCTTGAAACTCAATTTTGACGGTAGTTCTCTTGGGAATCCTGGTTTAGCCGGAATTGGAGGAGTAGTGCGTTATTGTTTGGGTAACACCATTTTTTTCTATGCTGGACCTATAGGTGTTGCAACTGCAAATTGTGTGGAGCTCAGCATGTTACTTGAAGGTTTGAAATTTTTTATTGTAAGGAATTGTGGTAACAAATGTTGGATTGAAGGGGACTCCCTGAATGTTATCAAGTGGTGTAACAAGGAGCCGCGCGTGTCATGGGAACTCCGGCCTTTATGGTATCTTGTTTCTCCTTTATCGATCTCATTATCGCATGTTTATCGACAAGCAAACTCTGTGGTTGATGCCCTGGCTAAAGGTGGTTCTTCTTTACCTTTTTTTGTCATTTTTAATGATGTAATTTCCTTTCTTGAGTATTCAATAAAAGATAAAAGTAGTAACATTTGTGAAAAAAAAAAAAACAATGCAATTTTTATATGGTTAAAGTTAAGTATTTAAGAACTCAAAATATGCTTTTTTATTTTAAACAAATCATGATGGATTTTGAGGTGGTCCCAAAATTTTAGATAAAAAGAAGAAAACAACAAAAAAATAGCTATACAATATACTCCCGAAAGAGCATAATGTAACCACTCAACCTATCATATGAGAGAGAGAGACAGAGAGACGGTGTCTTTGTTGGTGTTGACGCACTTTACAATCATAGCAGCATGTGAATTGCAATCACGACAAGAATAGGAATCTCCACAACAACCCCAATAACCATCGACTTGCGATCCGAATTTGACCCATTCAGCCGGAATATGGCGCATTAGATAGGACAAAAACACAAAAGATAGAGCCATTTTCCTTTATAAATACTGGTTTTAACAAATAAGGAAAGAAACAAGGGGAGAGAAGATGGCCTGTGTCTCCACCTCTAAGTACAACTACTCACTCCAAGCTCCGTTTTCAGGGCGAGAAGGCGGCCGAAATGGTTGCTTCTTCTTGAAAGCTAGTCGAGAAGGCGACCGAAATGGTTGCTTCTCCTTGAAAGCTAGTCCGAGATTAATTAAATGGAGTTGTGGAAAAGCTTCTTCATTAACCATTAGAGCTTCCAATTCTGATGTAACAAGAAAGGGACAACAAGGTAACCATCTCTCTCTCATATTGATCCTGAAGAGATCAGTGTTTTTTGTAAATTAAGTAGGAGACGTCCTAGGGCTTAAAGTACGTGCAAGTAGCAGTGCCTAATCCCCAAGGAAAATCCTCGTGCTTCTAGTTCTCAGAGAAATAGCATATAATTTGTCTTAAAACAAAAAAACTTTGATCTCACGTTATAGTATAGCCCATTGTATCGAATTCGCCTCGTGCCAAGTACTCGCCGCTGCCCCTCACCGAATAATGACAAAACATGAAAAAGTAAGAAAAAAAAACATAACAAACAGTAAAACAGTGAAAAAAAAAGGAAGAGGAAAGGTAGTAGATGGCCAGTGGCGCGAGAGAAGGGCCACATGACCAAAACGAGAGATATGGCGGCAGCCATCTGTCTCCCCCGCCACCTTGTGTCCCCCCAAACCACCTTGTGAATGAGGTGGGGCCATTGTTCAGTTCGATTGCAGAGCTGTGATAAAAGAAAACGTGCAATTGACTTTCAAAAAGTTTACTTCGAGCACTTTATCATGGTGCAGTTTAAGGTGCATTCTTAAACTCTGCAAAAAGATACAGTTCCGGCAGTTGAAAGCTCTAGAGTGGCCTGAAAATCTACTTTTACGTTTACTAAAAAAATTACAAGCAAAGCATATCTATAAATGTTTCAAAATCCTGAAAATCAATAGTCTAGATAATGTGTTACAAAATACACTATTTTTAGGACTGGAAATACTTTTTCTTTACATTTATATATCTTGTGGTTGAGATGATTAATTGAGATTTTTCAAACATTAGAACGACTTTTTTACCGTGGATTTTTAAGATCTGCCCTATTTACTTAATTTTTTGGCAGGTAATTTTCTTTGTGAAATAATTAGTTGAGGAAATCTAGCAAGTGTAATGGGACGGCTTAGGAATTACTTTCCATTCACCTTTGTTTTTTTCTTTGGTTTCCCACAGTCACCTGTAATGGAACGGCAACAGAAGCGCATCAACTCCTTCCACAAAAGAAAGGCAAAGCATCTCCTGCGAAGGCCCATACACAGGTTGATTTATTTATTTGGTTATCGGTGAGGTTTTTATAAGGTGATCACCTTATACTATACAAGTAAGGCACACTTCTAAATGTTGTCAAAAAATGTAGTTATGATATCGAAAATGTTACACTAGCTTGAAAATCTATATTCAACCCTAGTTGTAAAATTTAAAATTCTAAAAAAAGTGCATATCAATTAGATCCATAAAAATTTTGAAAATCTTGAAAATGGATGATCTAGATACCTTGTTACACTATGCAATATTTTACGATTTATTATTACTATTTTTTTTTATATCCATACATCTCGATGTTAAAATGATGAATTGAGAAGTTTTCCAACTTAGGGACTCTTTTTTCTGCAAGATGTTTGAAGCACACCCTACTTCTATAGTATAAAACCTTATACAAACTTTTTCCTTTTGTTTTATTATTAGTTCACTATGGGAAGAGCAGTTCGAGGAAGGGCCGTTTTATCTTTCTTTTGTGGGAATGATTGCCAGATAATATTGAATAATAATGTTTTTAAATGGCCGTCTCACTATCGCTCTCAACATCTAAAGTTTTTAACTCATGTATCGAAGGGTACATTTATAAGACCCAGGACTCTTATATAGAATTGACTCCCCTCTTGAAAATATATTTTTTGGATGGATTTGGATCTCACTTAAGGATATATAATTTCTAATTTGGAGATCATAAATATGTAAAATTAAATAAAGCTTAAAATTTTTAAACTGAAAGTGATAATTTTATAGAAAAAATATTTAGATTATGGTTTTAACCTTTTTTTTTTTTTTTTAAGGGTACCACTCATTGGCCTCTATCTTTAAGATGGATGCTGCTCACCTCAGGGAACACAAACGAAGGAATATAACCCGCTTGGGACACAGAACAATTTTTCTCATAAAAAAGTACCTTTTATGAAAGGGATGTAGTTTATATAAGGCTGAGACCGTAAGCAATAAAAGTAAGGCGCACCTTTAAAAAGTATCGAAAGATGTCGTTTTATTATCGAAAAATATTTACATGGCCTAATACTTTCGTCTCTAAAAAAAAATTAGAGCTTTAGAAATGGCACACATCAAGCAGATCTATGAACACTTGAAAATTTTGAAAATTGATGATCTAGATAATGCATTACAAGATGCACTATTTCTACAACTTGAAGTCCATGTTTTTTATGTTTATGTATCTCAAGGTCGAGATGATTGGATTAGAAGGTTTTTTAACATACTGGCGAAACACTATAACAATTCGCCTATAGACGTTTTTAGGACTTTTTCTCTCTCTCTATATATATATATATATAGTGGGGTATGGTGCAACGGCTTGAATTGTGATTGTGGCTAACGCGACAATGCTTTGGATGGGATAGGTGGAATTGGAAGATGAAAAAAGAATAGAAAGTCTAATAGAAGAAATAAAAGGCATCTTCCAGTCCATGAACGATGGAGAGACAAGTCCTTCAGCTTATGATACGGCATGGGTCGCTAGAATTCAAGCCACTAATGGAACGCACCAACCCCATTTTCCACAAACCCTAGAATGGATTCTTGAGAACCAACTGGAGGATGGTTCTTGGGGTGAACCCACCTTCTTTCTCCTCTATGATAGACTTGTCTGCACACTTGCTTGTGTCCTTACCCTTACAATATGGAACAGTGCAGGGCCTCAACTTTCAAAAGGTGAGATCATCTCCATGACGCCTCTCTCTCTCTCTTTCTCTTACACGTGATTATATAAAGAAATCTTTGTGTTATGGAAGTTGAATGATGAGATTATCTCTTTCTCTTACACGTGATTATATAAAGAAATCTTTGTGGCATGGTAATTGAATGAAGGGATTATAGAAAATACCCTGATGCGAGTGTTTGATTGGGAAAGCACTGCATTTGTGCTTTTCGACGTTTGTTTTGGAGCCCGTGTACAACACCCAAAACCGTCTTTACAGTGGCTGGTTCGGTGTTTGATGATCCTTATATATGTTCGGGACCATAGTTCACTTCTACGCTCTCGGTAAGAAGATTTATTTGAGAGGATTTGCTTTCAATCTGGAATTTTGGAAACCACTTCAGAATTATTTATTTTTTTAAAAAAAAATTATTAAGATTTGAGTTTTCTATCAGTTAGATCTTGTCATCTAAAGATTGGATGATCTCTATTTGAACTTGAGACATTGTTCTTTTTATGGGTATAGAGGGTGCATCTAGGAAATTTTTCTTTATGAGGTTTATCTATGGGTTCAAGAGGTTACATCCTTACAAATTTGGGGTTCTAGGATGGGGTTTGCATAAGGTTGCAACTTTAAACAATCAAAGTATGACGTATTTTCCAAACTTTGTGATAAGATACAATTTTGGGGCATCCAAAATTTTTAGGATGGCCTAAGAATCTATTTTCATCTCTAATCATAAAATTTTAAACTCTAAAAACAGTTCAAATCAATTAGATCTATAAACACATAAAAACCTTGAAAATGAATGTTCAAGATAATATATTGCAAGATGTATTATTTTTAAAACTTAATATATATATATATATATGGAAAATACTACGCAACGCCTATAGGCGAAATGAACAGTGATTTCGCCTACCCCCATCACCGTCTAAAGTTCATCGTGCGGTCACGATCGTCCGGTAGCGTTTCATTTTTCATTTATTGTTATTATTATTATTATTATTGTTGTTGTTATTATTATTATTATTATTTTATTTTATTTTATTTTTTCTTGTTAACAACACCCATTATATCCATTTTTCTAATAATTTATGATTATCTAATGAAATAGTTTGTATAAAGGTGAGGCCCTAAACAATCATTGGAGCACCTTAAAAAAAAAAAAATCACTAGGAAATGTTGTTTCGATGCTAAAAAAACCCTCAATTCGATTATCTCAATCTCAAGATATATGGACATGAAAAAAAATAAATTCCAAGTTAATGTATTATCTAGACTGTCAATTTTCAATATTTTCAAGTATTCATGGATCTACTGGAATTCATAATATTTTTTATATCTTTAAATTTTATAATTAGATATGAAAATAAATTTTCAAGTCATCACAAAGATTTATGATACTGAAACTATATATTTCGATACTATTTGAAGGTGCGCCTTACTTTGATTGTTTAGGGCCTTAGCCTTATGCAAGCCACACCATTATCAAATAAGCAAACTCTATCGATTCGATTTTAAAAGAAGGAAAAGGTTAGCGTGGGGGTGGGGCCACGGTTCACGTTTTGTGAGTAAAGTTTTTCCCGTGTGATTTGAAAAAAGAAAAAAAAAATTTCAAACCGTGAAAATAAAACATCTTGTAATGGATTACATGGACCATCTACTCAAATCTTCACAGGTCTATCTTATGTGCATGTATTTTAGAACTTCGAATTTCTTAATCAAGAGCATAAATAGATATTCAAGCATCTACTCAGATGTTCACAGATCTATCTTATGTGCATGGATTTTAGAACTTTGAATTTCGTAATCGAGATCATAAATAGATATTCAAGCCATAATAAAAGTTTCTCGGCACCAGAACTGCATTTTCCTGTAGGTTTTGGAGGTTGAGGCTTAAGCCCCATTCATGTGCCAATCACGTCGGTTAAAATCATTGTTTTAAAAAATTAAAATACTTCTCAATTCCCACTCCCATTTCCATTACTATGGACTTATAGACCCAACATAGAATATATGGATCCCTTTAAAACTTGAAACTAATTTATTTAGTTGGCGATTTTGGTATCATTTAGGGCTTGATTTCCTAAGAAGGAGAACCAAAGATATGGAGCACGAACCTACAGGCCTAAGAACATGTGGGTTCGAGATAGCCTTTCAAGCCATGCTTGACGAAGCAAGAGATCTCGGCCTTGATCTCCCTTATGACCTACCCTTCCTAAAGGAAATCTCTCAGTTGAGAGAGAAGAAAATCAAGAGGTATTTGCATCTCCCATCTAAATAACTCTAGCAAATGGAAGCAATAATGATCTTGGCTCAAAACCCAATGTTTGTAACCAGTGCTTAAATAGGACTCAGGTTCTAGCTCGCTCGGCCAGTGTTTCAGGACTCGGACTTGGCCGAGTTACTCAAGTCCAAGACCATTTGGACTTGGCCAAGTTACTTGGCTCAGGCCGATTATCCATGCTTGCCTGAGTAAATCGCCTGAGCCAAGGGCCGAGTACCTTGGGCGAGCCGCGCCTTGGAACATTGCACTAGGGTCCTAGCCCAGAGTCTAATGCAAAATAACTCTTGTCGAAGGCTGAGTTTTGCATCAGACTTGGTCTATTTTCTGCAAAAATATCGAAGCTAACCTGGGCTAGGGAGACCTACACGAGTTTTGGAATTGTCCCTCCTGAATTATCAGGGTTCCTATCTTGGCCGACTACGGAATCTCTCGAGTTAGCCCTCCAAATTTTTAATGATTAGTTATAACAGTGGATTTCATGGTTTGTGTGTCACAGGATCCCCATTGAAGTAATGCATTCAGTTCAAACCACTCTTCTCTATTCTTTGGAAGCTTTGCAAGACGTGGTGCAATGGGAGAATATCTTAAAGTTGCAATCTAGGGATGGGAGCTTCTTGAGCTCCCCTTCAGCTACTGCTGTTGTTTATATGAAGACAGGGAACAAGAAATGTTTGGACTTCTTGACTTTCATAGTGAGGAGGTTTGGTGACCATGGTAAGCCATTTAGGTTCAAACAATGGTCTTAAATTGAATGAATTTATAGGTAAATTATTAGGGAATCAGGTTTGGCCTTGGTTGTTGGTGATTAGGACTAGGGTTTTAAAAACCTAACGATTTAGATTGGGAATTGTCGATTTGGGTCCCGCCATAGAATTGCCCATACTATTAATTAATATTATTTTAAGATATTTTTAGTCATTCATTTGATTTGGATAGTTGATCCAGCCAATCAGATCGGTACAATACGTGGACGATTTCTAGGTTTTAATCACTGATGGGTCACAAGTTCAATTCCCAAGAAAAAAAGGTTATTATTTGTTATACATGTCTGGACTTTCTTCCATTGTTCAAGAAATATAGGATATGGAAGGAATTTTAGGCTTCATTATTAGGACTACAAAGAGTCATTTCATTTTTGTTGTATTGCAGCACCAGCCCAGTATCCCATTGACCTGCTTGAAAGGATATGGGCCATTGATACGATCCAAAGGCTAGGGATTGATCATCACTTCCGCAAAGAAATCTCAGCTACCCTTGATTATGTCTATAAGTATGTAAATTTTATATCTACTTGATTTCTTGTTTTGTTTCCTACCATCCTAGCAAAGAAAATGAAGTTATGATATTCTCTGTTTTGCCACATTATCTAAAGTTTTGAAAATAATTTTCTAGTTATTAACAGAACAAGAAACACACACACACAACAAAGCAGCATTTGTTCTTATTTTTCAGTTGCTCTTTATGGGACACTAGTGGCAACTCTTTTGATTATAGTGTGCTCATTGAGTTGAAGCAATTTTACTATGGAAATTTGGTAATGTAAACATTTAATTTACCAAGTAAGATATCATTTATAGGAACTCTGGTAAGGAAGGAGTGTCCTGGGGAAGGGATAACCCTATTCCTGACATCGATGACACATGCATGGCCTTCCGCCTTCTTCGGATGCACGGATATCCCATCTCTCCTGGTAATTTTGCCACCAAAATTCTTGGCTCAATTGACTCTTGTACTTTTATTTATATTGAAGTTCTCTGATTTTTTTTGGTTTTGTTTTGCTTTCACAATTGCAGCTTCTATAACAGTAGGATTTATTCATTTATCAAGGTTCATGCAAGTATCTTTTCTGGTGATTAGTGTTTCTTTCTCCTAATATAAGATTTCTTTAGATGTGTTGGAGCATTTCAAGGATGATGATGGAAGGTTCATTTGCTTCCGTGGGGAGACACACACAGGAATCTCAGACATGTTTAACCTCTACAGATTCTCTCAGATGTCATTTCCAAGAGAGCAAATACTCAAGGAAGCTAAGGCTTTCTCTAAGAATCATCTTAAAGGTTGCTTGGAAAATAATAAAGTGGAGGACAAATGGTCTTTAAAGAAGGCCCTTTTGAAAGAGGTAAGAGTTTTATATTATCCAATCCATCTATCTCTATCTTTACCTCTCTTTCTTTCTCCACCCCCGGGCCGCCGCAAAAACCAAAATAAGAAAAGTTCTCAAACAGAAATTTGTTGCCATCTTTAGTAAATGTCTTCTCCTCACCTGTCCCGTCCAGGTTGAGTGTGCCCTCACATGCCCATGGAGCATGAGCCTTCCTAGAGTTGAGGCTAGAACTTATATTCTCCACCATTATGGAGAGTCCGATGTTTGGATCGCCAAGGATATCTACAAGTAAGATTAATCTGCTCTCTGAATGTTTAATTGCTTTAGGGCTAGAAAAATATCCTGACTCATGTTCTTTGCTACCTACTTTCAGGATGCCTTATGTCAATAACAAGAGTTATTTAGAATTGGCGAAGCTGGATTTCAATTGGCTGCAAAATGTGTATTGTGGAGAGCTTGATAGCGTTTTGAGGTGAGAGGATACTACACTGCAGATCTTGTAACTTAAGTTTCAAGGTAGAGAATCTGTTACAAGTTGCATTACTAGGGGGAGAGGTATATAGGGATGAGACTTGGTTAAGGTGGCGGGGCGTCACAACATGATGATTTGAGTTCTTTGGCTTAGTAGTTAGGGCGATAAAAAATTTCAATTAAACGTCGTGGGTTCCAATACCGAAAGATGTTCCTACTCTCTTCTCTCTATGTCCAACACAAACATAAACGACATTGATGTTGCTTGATTGCATTTTGTAGAAGAAAATATACTATCACTAAGCTGATTTTTGTGATTTTAGAATGGCGATTATTGTTTACACTAGCCCTAAGATTTCTTATAGCACTGCTCGTACAATCTACATCAAATCAGGGTTTATTATTTTTCTCTCTAAGACACATAACACACAATCGGGATTTGTTACTCCTCTTTATAAAAGGCAACAGAGGATTATTTGATTATGATAGAGGTAGGAGAATAATCCCCCTACTATGATTTTAAAGAAATTAAGTTGATGTCTATACTTTGTTGCTCTACAAGGTAACAGGGCTGTTTTATTTTCAGGTGGTGGAAGGATCTTGGCATTAATTTTCCAGTTTTTAATCTACGGCAACCGAAGGAGATTTACTTTTCAATTGCTGCCACACTATTCGAACAAGAGTACTCTAAATGCCGCTTAGCCTGTACCAAATGTAATTACATTGAGGATTCCCTTGAAGAGCTCTTCAAGAGCCATGGATCCATTGAAGATTTGAACCTAATCTGCCAAGGAGTTGAAAGGTGTCCGATGACTCACTCTCTCTCTCTC